CCAGAAGTCAGGGCGCTTCCGTATATATCTGTGGGGGGCAACTACCTCTCTCGCCAGATTCAAAACAGAATCACTCACAGCGCCACACGGTGGCACCTGGATGGGCTTCCTGTGGACCAACTTCCGGTTCCTCGTACCTCATACCTCCTGTCTCCCTGTACATCCCATGCCAGGGCCTTAAGACAAATGACAGCACCATTGTTTTGTGGGACCACCAGGGGGGGGTGTCCCTGTGGGCCCAGGTGTGGTCCCAGGACAACAGTAGCTCAGTTCTGCATGGAAGTGACCAGACCCACAAACACATCCCCAGGACACAACTCCCCTTGGGCCCTGCCCAGTGCCTCCTTTTCCCGAACCGAAGGGAAAGCAGAACCAGGATAGCCGTGTCCCCTGCCACCTCTCCACACATACACCACTTCTGCACACACAGAAGCAGAAGACCAAGCCTGGGGTCAACACCTATGGAGGGGACTTGAGGTCCGGCACCCTGGCCAGCTAGCTCAGAGGAGCTGAGGACCCAGAGAGGCTCTGTACCCATCCCCTAGCTGTTCCCAGGGGACACCTCACCACTGCCACCACCACCACCACCACCACCACCACTACCACCACTACCACCACCACCACCACCACCACTACTACCACCACCATCACCACCACCACCACCACCACCACCACCACCACCGAAGGGTGAAGAACAGAAGATCACCCACAGATGTTACATCAGCCCATAAACTGCAAAACTCAAGTCAAGAGTCAAGGTCCTCTTTGTTCCCGGGCATGATAAAACTCCACCATCTTCCTCAAGCAAGAGGTTGAAGCAGGGACTGGAGAGGTGGCACAGTCAGTAAAGCGCTTCATTCAAAAGTGTGAGTACCTGAGTTCAAATCCCCAGGACCCAGGTGAAAACACCAGGCATGGCATCTTTCCTCTCTAATCCCAGCAATGAAGAGATGGGAGACACAGATGGGCAGACCTGGGTGGTAAAGTTCTGGACCAATGAGAGACTCTATCTCAAGCAATAAATGGAAAGGTCCTGAGGAGTGACATCGGAGGTTCTCCCCCGACCCCTACACCTACTGTGTAGGTACACACACTGATGTGTACATGCACACGCACACACACTCAAAACTGAGGCAAAAAGAGAAGGAGGAATGTGACGTTGCACTGCGTAAGTCCCAACCGGCAGCCAGCCCTGCCCACGGGGCCTCCTCCAGTGCCCCTCCTGCAGTGCCCCTCCTCCAGTGCCCTTCCTCCAGTGCCCCTCCTGCAGTGCCCCTCCTCCAGTGCCCCTCCTCTGGTGCCCTTCCTCCAGTGCCCCTCCTCCAGTGCCCCTCCTCCAGTGCCCAGTGCTTCCCAGGGTGTTACCCCTTGCTCCCCGCTGTGGGATTTGGTTGTGGTTATCTCCAAAGATGCAGATTCTTCAAGGCCAATAAAGTCTGTTTTCGTGGAGTCCAAACCGGCCCAGGAGCTCCGTGTTGGGCGGTTAGGACTAACCCTGGCGAATGTGGTGTCAGTGTGGGTGCGACAACAGTCTCACTAAAACCCCAGCACACAGTAGGAAACTTGAGAAAATACTTGACTGATCACGCTCACCCAGATTCCCACTCAGAGAGAAAGAGTTCAAGTCCCTGTGAGGGTAAGACTTCTGCCTTAAATTTCTGCAGTAGGAGTACGCTTTTGACCCCCTACCCCATCCTTTCCTGCCCCTCACAATCCCAGGGAAAAAAGATCGGCCATTGGGAAGAGCCATGCATCACCCAGGAGTGAGTTCTCCTGAAACATAGAGAGCAGCTCTGGAAGCAATCAGAAAACATTAAAGATGCAAACTGCATTTTGAGCCATTGCAACTTGGGGGCACACATCCATTCTGTCAGGAGCCGCCGTAGATAACAGGTCTGCTCATTGAATTAGGTGCAGGAAAATGGAAAAAGGTTGAAATTCATGGCTGAAAATATTCCATTTCTGAGCCAAGGCTGTTTACTGTTAAAGGGGGAAATGGTCTGGCTTGTCTGTGAACAAAGGCAATTTGGCAAGACTCTGACTATGTGGTAGTGAAAGATGGAAGGAGACACGTTTAGACATACGAACCCACCAGCCGGTCCCTGCAGAAATGCAGAGATTTGAGATCAATCGGTGAGCTAACACAGACTGAAAGGTTACAGGACACAGTGGATGACATCATGTGGCCCAGACTTGCTGTTGATATGTGATGAGCCTGCTGATAAAGCAATACCAGCCCAGCTGTCGAGTCGTGTGTAGTAAGTGTCCTCAGGAGACAGCCACAAGGCCCAGCTTCCCCCATCCAGGGCCATGCTGCACATGTCACGGGGTCAACTTGCTAAGGCTGTAAAGGAAACTTACCTGCAATCCATGAGAAGCCCACGCATGCTCTGAAATTTGAGGGTGCCATTGAAAGACCTGCTGGAAGACTGCAAAGTTGGGGTCATCACAATCAAGTTCTAAGAGGGTGAGCAGGCACCTATGTCTTTGGGGTGTGTCTATGATGGAAAGGACCTCAAAATGTGTCTGGATGACTGTCCCTGACCCAGTGAGCCCAGCAAAGGTGGATAGTTCATCTGCCCCAACATTTGTCAGAGTCCTCTGGACCATACATCACTGCACACAGCACTTGAGAAAACCAAACTCCTGTGTGAAGAGGGTGGGGGACAGAGGTGGACTTAGTAGGAGTGACTGTAGGAGACAAAGAAGATTGTGTCATGGGGTGGCAGAAAGGGTTTCCTGAATTTTGGGGAAACCATGAAGCATCTGGCCTGGCAGATTTGGAAGATGGCACCTATCCACAAAAATGGGCTCTCTCCCAATGTTACACAGTTAACGAAACGCCTGCCTCTGCCTCCTGAGAGCTGAGACTAAAGGCATGACCCACCACATCTGACTGGTGCTAATCTTAAAATACAGCATGTGTCTTCCTAAGAGCAAGGGCATTTTCTTATGTAACCATAGAACATAGTCTAGATTCAGAAAGTTTACTCTTAATACTAGTAATCAGTGAATAGTTAACACTCAAGTTTTTCTGAAAATCCAAATAATGTTTTTGGCAGCATTTTATTTCAAAATGAGATCAACCGTTGCATTTGGCGTCCCACCCCATAGTTTCCTTATGATTCTTCCGGGTTTTGTCTTCATGAAGTCAATGTTTTGAAGAGGAATGTGAGGTATTTGGTAGATTGTCACTCAATTTGTGTCCATCCGCACAAGCAGTCTTTCACAAAGACAGTACACATAACTGACACTGCCTCACTCCAGCTAGATCTCATCAGGAGTGTGTGACATCAAGTGGTTCCAGTTTCAGTTGCACTAACTTTGATCACTTGTTTGGGGAGGAGTTTCCCACTGTCAAATTACTAGGCTGGGGAGAATTTCCCACTATGAACTCGCTAAGCTGGGGAGGGTTTCCCACCGTGGAGTCAGTAGACTGGGGAGGGTTTCCCACCGTGGAGTCACTAAGCTGGGGAGGGTTTCCCACCGTGGAGTCACCAATTCTCCCTTAGATGCTAAGTCAGCTGTGGGACCATTTAAAGATTTTACTCCTGGGATCTGGGAAGATGGGTAAAGCACTACACAATCATGAGAACCTGAGTTCAGATCTCCAGCACCCACATAAAGCCTGGCATGGCAGTGCATATCTGTAACCCCAGCTCTGGGGCAGAGGCAGAGACAGGTGGGTCCTGGGAGTTCACTGGCCAGCCAGCCTAGCCAAGAGCCTCACCAAAACAGCAAAAGACCCTGTCTCAACAGATAAGGTGCAGAATGACAGAGGGAGGCTGCTGACTTCTGGCCTCCGAATGCACACCCGCGCACACATGTATACGCACACATACACCACATACACACAATAAATAAATAAGATCATCTCCTTCTCACACTTTTCCAAGCAGATTTGATAACCAGTGTTGACTGTAATTCTTGACAGAATCGTTCATTACTTTGCTGGCTACAAATTTGTGATTTTCTAATTCATTCCTTCAGTGCTCACTCACCGTCATCCCACTTCAGGGACGAGCTCTCTCCCACAGTTTATTTATGTATCTAACTGCTTATGGGTCTCCATGTGGACTTGTGAGCTCTTGTTTGGGGCTTTGAATTGTGACCCATCACCAGGTTCAGAGTCCCCAGCCTGAGCTAGGGGCACAGGGACCCTTCAAGTCAGTCACCTGTGCTCTGATCTACCTTGACATGGGGCGTTTTCATCTCTCACCTGTGGGCTTCAGGAAGTGGGTGAACATCACCAAAGAATGTCCAACAGTTATGTGTCTATGTGTTTCCTGAGTGGACAGAAGTCCAGTAGCTCCCATTCGAGTTTCAGGGAGACTGTAGTGTCTCCAAAACACAAGGAAACTCTAGACCAGGGGCTTTGGTAGAACTCCTGTGCTAGTTGAGCTAATGTCACAACTGAGATCCAAATTTGCTCATGGTGGAGACACCAGCCTGGCTTAGCCTCCAAAGCAGGCCTCCCCTTCTCGACCCAACTAGGATGGTTCACCCAGGGGCACCTTGACTGGAGGAGGGTGTACCTAGGGAGACAGTGGTTGAATGTCCTTGAGGGTGACTCCAGAGAAGCCTGGCATGTGAGCTGGCCAATTGTGTGGGAAGGTCTGTCCGTAACATGGACACTACCAACCAGTCCACCGGGCAGTTCAGATAGAAGAACAAAGGAGCGCTCTCCTGGCAGGGGCTCTCTCTTCCTTCTGTCTGTGGCCAAGACCTGGTGGGAATATGGAGAGTATCTCTGGGGGACCTGAGGAAGACAGCAAGCCAGAAACTCCTGGAACCCTCCCTCCTCTCCTGCATCTCAAGGGCAAGATGTTTCAAGGGCTGGGATGTGAAGCAAGAAACCAGGTCCCTGGCACCAGGCGTCCTGGAGCCTGGCAAGACACCGTAGTGTTCTCACCCATGAGCCAGGGCGATGAGAACTCAGCAGCACTGATGTTAAGTGGAGTGCTCCACAGTCCACTCGGTCCAGCTCGGGGTACCCTTCCCAGGCTCCAGCAGAGCAGGCAGCTTCTTGCCCAAAGAGTTTATAAGGACTGCAGAGCACATGGGCTGCATACAGGTGGTCCAGGAAGCCTCGCAGATACACTCTGATGCACACACCTTCCCTCCTCACAAACACATGCCACTGTGGGTAGCGACAGGCTCAGAACAGGACTCACAGGCTGGCAGTCACTGCCTCTGGGTGACACAAGCGATGGTGCCTTATCACCTGGGTTCCAGTGTCTCATCTTTTAGTGGTGGTGTTGGGAACCAGCACACAGCCACCAGAGGATGAAGTCAGCAAGTCACAGCCTTACCCTGGGCTCAGAAGGAAAGGAGTTGTTCCAGAGGGTGCCCAGCCCATGGAGATGGTGCCCAGCAGCAGAAGAGCCAGCCTGAGGGTCGGGCTACCTCCTGCCCTGCCTGGTGGGTGGGAATTCCCACTGAGACTGTCCCATTGTCTGCAAGCTCTTATCTGCAAAGACAGACGGTCCCTTTCACAGACATCTGCCAACCCTTGTCCCGGGCAGGTCTTGGGTTTCTGCAGGAGGCGAAGGCCAGAGTTGGAAGAAGGGGCCATGGCCAGGGGGGCATCTCTGTTTACACACAGCACACTGGGCATGGCTCCCACGGGCTCGGGTGTCCCTGTGCACAGGTGGTGGGAGGGTTGTACCTCTGCTCCCAGGGGCCACAGCACCTCCCTACCTCCCTACTCTCCTACTCTGTCCTCCTCTCCTTCTCCTTTCCCTCCTTGTTCCTCTCTCTCTCTCTCTCTCTCTCTCTCTCTCTCTCTCTCCTCTCATTCTCTCTGTGTACACATGTGGGAAAGGCATGCATGCACCTATGTGCACACATCAATATCATGAGTATCTTCTTTCATTATTCTCCGTCTTAAATTTTGTATTTTATTTACTATCATTGTGTATGTGAAAGTGTGGGCACTCACATGCCAAGCACACATGTGGAGGTCAGAAGACAACTTTTGGGAGTTGGTTCTCTTCTTCTACCCCAGGTTCCAGGGATCAAACTCAAATTTTCAGGTTTGCTCTGTGAATGCTTTTACCTGCTGAGCCATCTCCCCAGCCCGCCACCTTATTTGTTGAGACAGGGTCTCTCACCGAGCCTGGGGCTCACCAATTTGACGAGGCTGGCTGGACACTGAGCCCCAGGGACCCTCCTCAGCACTGGGATTATAGGCTCCCTCCATTCTGTACAGCTTTTTACATGGATGCTGGGGATCTGAGATCAGGTCCTCAGGCTTGTGTGGCAAGCACTTTCCCACAGAGGCACTTCCCCAGCCCCATCTCTCTCCTTTTTCTTCCATCCCCCTTTCCCTCTCTTCCAACAGATATCTGGGTATCTTTTGGATTCTAACCATTAATAAACATTCTGTTCACAGACCAAAGATCAAACAGGCAAATCACTATAGACTATGACCTGACTTGGGGCTGTGGAGCTTGTAGAAGGCCACTACCCAGCCTGGTAGTCTTCCTGGTCCTAGAGGAAGGCTCTGTGACTAGTGTTCACTATAGCAATAGACAGGGACCACGGGAGGATAAGAGATAAGCAGTTCAGAGGGAAGGGTACAGGGAAGAGACTACAAGGTAGCCCACAGGACCAGGGAGGTGAGGAAGCTCCAAAGGGCAGGCAGGGCCCCTCAGAGCTTGTTCCTGCTCCAGAGGAAAAGCTGAGGCCTCACTCTGTTTCAGGAAGCTGCCCTTGGATACACCAGACCTAGACCCTGGCCTTACCACTGTGCTGTCACTGTCACAAACCCCCAGCATCCCAAACACACTGATTCCAGACACTACCTTTTGGCATACCTGCCAGCATTTCCCAGCACACTCTGGAAAGAAAGTCCTCATTACAACAGAGCTCAAAGACTGTCACCGAGATGATGAGATGGTGAAGCAAGCAGGTAACAGGCGCTCGGGAAGGCAGAATGGGCTCCTGGACTGGATAGACAGACGGACAAGCAGGAGGAAGGATGGATGGAGTGGTGCTCACTCACAATCCTCCTTCCACATTGCAGCCAAGGGAACAGTAAAGGGACTGAGAGGACATACCCAGGAGTGTGCAGAGAGTGGCCAGCCACAGAAGCCAGGCTCAGAAGAGGGCAGCCCAGACCCTGACTTGGCAGTGCCTGGAACTGCCAAGGGTGGCAGCTGGGGGCGGGGGGGAGGGTATTTAGAAAACGCAGCACAGAAGGCTTCCAGACCGTGAAGTGGCAGTGGAGGGCGGGAGGCCAAGTGGCAAGTAGCAGTCAGGCCTTCCCTCTGTGGCCTCAGAGGGCCTTTCCCCTGAGCCTTGATCCAATCCAAGAGGGAAAGCTAAGGGAACACTGGGGGGTTCTGGACAGGAAGGGCACCCCAGAACCATCCAGAACCATCCTGATCACTCTTCAGTTCAGGATACAGGGGGCCTGCATGACCAGGGGTGTCTTTGAAGGTGCTTGGCTGCTCTGATGAAGAACCCTGGTTCAGTTCCCAGCACCCATGTTGGGTGGCTCACAACCACCTGTAACCCTACCTCTAGGGAACTTGAGCCTCTTTTCTGGCCTCTGAGGATACCTTCATTCACGTGCACCCCCCCCACACACACATACGTGTAATTAAAAAATAAAATAAATCTTGGAGAGATGGCTCAGTGGTTAAGAGCACTGGTTGTTCTTGCAGAGGATCCAGGTTGAGGTCCCCAGCACTGACATAGAGGCTAACAACCACCTTTAATTCCAGTTCCAGGAAATCAGCACCTTCTTCTGGTCTCCTCAGGCACCAGGCATATATGTGGTACACACACACACACACACGTAGGCAAATCACTTATACACATAAAAAATGAAAATGAAAAATCTTTAAAATAAAATAAATTATTTGGTTGGTTGGTTAGGATCTTATTATTGGTTTGGTTTGGTTTGGTTTGGTTTGGTTTGGTTTGGTTTGGTTTTAGCCTTGGCTGGCCTGGAACTCACTATGTAGACCAGGCTGGCCCCAATCTCACAGAGATCCTTCTGCCTCTGCATCCCAAGTACTGGGATTAGAGGTGTGTGCCACCATGCCTGGCTTGTTTTGTTTTTTGAGACAGAGAAAGAAAGAAGAAAGAGAGAGAGAGAGAGAAAGAAATAAAGAAAGAAAGAAAGAGAGAGAAAGAAAGAAAGAGAAAGAGAAAGAGAAAGAAAAGAGGGAGAGAGGGAGAGAAGGGAGGGAGGGAGGGAGGGAGGGAGGGAGGAAACAGTGGAGCTATTCCTTGACCTTCCACAGGAAGTTTCTCCTGACCTAAAGCCACGTCACTGGGGAAGGCAGACCCTCTTCCAGGATGAAGCCTCTTCAAAGCAGTCACTAAGTAACTGTGCTTCCTCAAGCAGCTGCTGAGGGATGGGCTCTGCCCATGTGAAAAATGTACCAAGAAAGAGAGGAGCTGAGAAGAGGCTCCCGGGAAGACCCTGGGAGGACAGCATTGTGCTCCAGAGAGCCGCTGCTCCAGGTGACCGTGGAGACTCGGCTGTCCTCGTGAGCCGAGGATAGAGGGTGGGCCTTGGTTATTACCTGGTTTATCTTGACCCAGTGCTGACCAAACTGTAGGTCTCCAGCTCACTCAGCAGCCTCCACCCATCCTGTCCCTACAGAGTGCTTCACTCTGCGGAAGTTAGCCATCTTGAGCATGTGCAGCACTCTGGCACCAGGCTGCTACACAGTCCTCTGTTAACCCCACGCAACAGCCCAGGAGCCATGAAACCTGTTTCCAGGACTCACTCGTGTCTTTGGCCACTGACAAGGTGCAGAAGGATTGTGCCGAACTCGGAACAAGCCCGAGGCTCCTTGGCGTTCCTGGATGTTCTATGCCCTCCTGGGAACCTAGAACTCTGGTTGAGTGGTACCCTTTCCTTCCACAGTCTGGCCACATCTCAGCATTAAGCAACCTATTGTGTGTGGTTTATTGTAGCCACTGGCTAGACCATAACCTTGACTGTTGGCTCTGTCTTTAGACGCCCATCTGGTCACATTTCCCATCCTCCCTTGCAGGTGGGTACAGGTACATGACTGAGACCTACCAGTTCCAGAACAGAGCCAAAAGTTTCCTGCCAGCCCAGTCAGATCCTTCTCAGCAGGACCTCAACAGGAGGCAGAGCCACTGGGAGGGAACAGCCTGGATCCCTGAAGGGCTGTGTGGAGCCAAGTTCCAGCCTGCCCTGTCCTGCTCTTTTGAGAACTAGAAACACACCACACACACACACACATGGCTGTGACCATGGTCGGTTCACAACATTTAGTCTACCCCAATGAATAAAGGACAGCTGGGAAATCTAAGACAGCATGGGGTCATTTGCTGAAGAAATAGAAGGGCAGTCAAGGTCACTGCTGGCAGCTTCCCAGTCTGCACAGGCATGGCCAGCCAGTGGGAGAACCTGAGTCTACAGGCAGCTGGTTTGCTGGGGTCCCAGGGATTCAGGTGACGTTCTCCTTATATCTGCCCTATGTGATTATTTGCAAAGGACACATAGGGAATGTAGAATGAGGGTCCCCACATTATATCTGAGATTCATGGAAACATCCTTACTTGCACTTCTCCAGATCCTCATATGGGGACCTCGGCCTGCCCCGCCTCGCCAGGAAAGCTCACCTAGTCCAGAGGTGCTCTCTGCAGCCTGAGGCCAAGGTTGACATCAATACAAACTTCCTTGGCTTTACAGTGTCCCTTCCTCTGTGAGGATCATCTCCCCTTGACCTCAATGTGCTCTGAGGATGCTGGCCTAGAATTCAAAAGAGGGATAAGAAGTCAGGCTACTGATTGTGTGCCTTTAATCCCAGCACTCAGAAGGTAAAGACAGGCAGATCTCTGTGAGTTCAAAGCCAGCTTGTTTTACATACCGAGTTCCAGGTCAGCCAGGGCTACACAGTGATACCCTGTCTCAAAAACAGGGACAAGAGCCTCCATCATCGCTGGCCGTGAGAGCATCGCTGGCCATGAGAGCCGTGGCCAGATGCATGGCTGAACCCTAGGGAAACCGTAGCAACTGCCAAAGAACACTCATGAGAATTCGGTGAAGGACGCCGCCCTGAGCACCCTGTTCTCAAGAGGTGCCGGCCCAGTCTTGGTCTCTGTCAGCCTCAGCTCTGAGACTGTCCACAAAGGCGAGGGTCTGCCTGCATCCACCTCTTGCCCTGCTCTGCCGAGCCCTCTCAGACACAGGCCACAGGCCCCTTACCATTAGTGGTCCAAAGCCTGGAGGAGTGCTACAGCTGGCCAGCCATCCAGGAGCAAGTCACAGCACGGCCTTGGATGGCAACTCAGTCACTGAGTTAAAGATAGGAAGCCCTGGTACTTTGGGATTGTCCCCACCCAGTCCAGTCCCACCCAGAGGGACTGGGGGCACTGAAGGAGCAACGAATGCCTGGCCAGCCAACAAGAGACCCTGCAGAGGCCCCAGTTGGCAGGGCAATGCGGGGAGGAGCACCTGCTATGCGCCCCACACTGGGCTCAGGCAAGCAAAGCAGCCTGGAATGTGCACCTTGCCTGACCTCCTGTGTATGTTGTAGACAATCCAGATCTAAAACATAGAACTACATAACTTGATAAATAACAGGCAAAGTGAAGTCAGAGGGATGGATCAACAGTCAGGAGTTCTCAGCACCCATGTCAGGAAGCTCACAACCACCTGTAGCTCCAGATCCAGGGGATCCAATGCCCTCTTCTGGCCTCCTCCAGCACTGCACACGCTTGATGCACATACACGCACACAGAGACACATGACAGACACATAAATAAAAATAAGATAAAGCATGGGTAACAGCCTCAGTGTGGACTGTGTTCCTGGAGAATCTCAGATTTCCTGAGATGCACAATGGCCTGTGGTAGAGACAGACCACAGGGCACCCCGGAAGTGCATTTGAGGGGAACCTCCCTGTCAGTCCATGATGGCCCATGTTGCATGAGAACATGCCTTTGCAATGACAGAAAATTTTATTTGTCAGTTTGGCAAGGCCATGGGGTACCCAGAAATTCTGTCGCACATTGTGGTGCCTCTTTGCAGTGGTGTTTGGAATACGACTCACATTTATGTTCAAGCTTTGCATAGAGGGTCCTCCCCTGTGTGGGTGGGCCTCACCCCATCAGCTGGGGGGTCTGACCAGAGTCCAAAACACTCACTGAAGGAGTGAATTCCCCAGAAGAAGGCTTTAGACAGACCACGTAGCCCATGAGCTCACCCTGCAGGCTGGGAGCCTGCCAGCCTCTGCCATAGAGGCCGCCAATTCCTCCCGTCTGTATCTGTTTGCATGTCTTCCTAGTCCCTCCTCCTCCTCCCCATTCCACCTCCATCTTCCTCCTCCTTCACCTCCTTCCTCCCCTGCCTTCCTCCACCTTCTTTTTTCCAAGCTCTTCCTCTTCCCTCATCTTCCTGTTTCTCCTCCTCTCCTTCCTCCTCCTGTCCTCTCTTCCTCCATCCCCCCTTCTCCTCCATCTCCTCCTCTTCCTTCCCTCTCCTTTCTCCTACTCACCCACAGTCTGAACATGGCCCCTGTAACTATTCCAGGGTTCCCTCCTGAACCTAAGAGAAATCCACCTAAATCCTCTCCCTGCAGCTAGCTCCCTCACACCCCTAACCCTTCCTGTTACATCACCATGGTAGCCCAGGCTCCTGACATCTGCTCAGCCTCGAACTCCATCAGCTGGTCATCCTCTGGGCTCATTCTCAATGAATTCTCATTTTCAATAGCTCCCTCTGCCTGTAACAGAAGCTCAGACCCCTAAGCAAGCATCAAAGCCCTCACAATTTGGACCCACCTGCTTTGGCACTGTGCGTTGCCCCCATCTCTTCCATGTGTCCAGAATCAGGACCAGAGCTCAAGCTCACCACTGGGGAGCTGCTTGGCCTTGAAGAATCAAAGCCAAGGGTCAGGGTGGCAGGGACTCTGCCTGGAGGACCAGTGTCCTGGGGTGGGACAGCCCAGTCTACTGGTCAGCTCCTGAGATGCTCTGCTGAGAACCACATCCTGAATTGACCATGAGCTTTCCAACCTCCGTGGCCTTGCTCACCTGGTGTCTTCTGTCTGGAGCACCAGCCCTTCCCCTTCTGCGTCCCAGAGCCCCTGGCCCTCCCCACCCCCCAGCACCCTGCTGCCTTGTACAGCCCGAGACCATCACCCCACATGGGAGTCATTCACTTGCATTGATTATCCCCCCAGCAGAAGGCCTCTAGCCCTCAGAGAAGCCTCCAGGCCCTCCCTGCCACCCACACCCAGTTGCTGGGAATCCCTAGGCAGTGCAACTGGCTTAAAAAGGAAACGCACAGCTTTGAGGCTCACTTCACTTTATTTTTAGAGTCTGTGACTCATCCACAGCTCCAGGGCCTGAGCTGCTTGTGGGACAGCCCAGGAGGCCAGGCAGGGAAGAGGCCCATAGCCTGGGGCCCAGGGAGGGCTAAGATACCAGGCAGTGAAGTTCCGCCGTGCAGAGATCAATAGTATCCACGCTACCCTAGGCGATGGTACCCTAAAACATACCAGAGGAAGCGCAGTGCATCCTGCCTGGCAGTCCACAGCTCAGAAAACACACTCCTGCTGACTGACTCCTCCTCCGTGCCGCCCGGTTTTCTTCTCATTAAACCGTCTCCCTGGTGTCTTGCTATTCTGTGTGACTCAGAAACGAGGCCATTGGGCCAGGAAGATGGCTCACCTGCTGCCAAGCCTGACCACCTGAGTTTGATCCCAAGGAACCACATGGTTGGTAAGAGAGAACTGACTTCCACAAGTTGTCCTCTGACCTCCACACATGCACCGTGGCACACCCACACACTCACAAAACATATCGATGAAGATGTAATGAACAGGGTCTTTGATGCTTCCTCTTGCTATGGCTTAAGACCACCTGTGTGTATCCACCCCCCAGGGGTTCATGTACTAGACTCTTGGCCCCCAGTGTGATAAGGTTGGGACGCCATATGACCTTAAAGGGGAAGAGCTCAGAGGAGGTGATCAGGTCATTGGAAGCCACTTCCAGTGAAATTAACATGGCCCCAAAAGAGCCCAGTCAGCTCCTGAGAGATGCTGTTATCAAAGAGCAAGGCTGAGCTCTCCCCTCTGCCTGCCTGCCTTCCTCTGACCGCTGGATCTCCTGCCATTGTCCATCTTCTGTGATGCCCTCAAAAGAGCCAAACAAATGTTAGTGCCATGCTCTGGAACCTCTGGGACTGGGACTGTGCACCAAATAAACCTCTTTTCTTCATAAAGTTCTGAGCCTTGGGTATTTTGTTATAGTCACTAACATGCATTTTGCATATGATTCCTCCATATTGACATATAGGGTCCACTTACTTGACTGAAATCTGTTATTGTCATTTGCAATCATGTTTGGTTCTATTGTATTTTCCAAGAAATGATTAATTTTGATCATCAATTTGATGATATTTAGAATCACCATGGAAACAAAACTCTGGGCATGTATGTAAAGGAGTTTCTAGACTGACTTATGTAGGGTGTAAGAGCTACACCCTAAATAACTAAATGTGGGGCACACCATCCTATTGGCTGGGGTCCCGGACTGAAGAAAAAAGAGAAAATATGTGAAGCTGATCGCCAACATGCATGTCTCTCTGCTTCCTGATTGTAGACGCAGCGTGTGTGACCAGCTGCCTGACACTCCCACCGCCTGCCTTCCTCCATGATGGATGGCACCCTCACACTGACAACCAGAATAAGCCTTTCCTTCCTAAACTGCTTTGGTTAGGTGTTTCGTCACTGAAATGAGAAAAGCAACGAACACAGAAAATTGGTACCAGGAGTGGGGTCACCCCTGTGCCAAACCTGGTTGTGGGTTCTTGGATCTTTGGAACTAAGTGACAAAAGAATGTGGAAGAGCTTGTAACCTGGAGCTAGGAAAGTCACACCACACTGTAGGCAGAGTTTAGTGGGCCAACGTGGTGGGAGTCTGGAAAGCCAGAACACTGAAAGAAATGCAAACACGGAAGGTTCAGCTTGAGTTTCAGAGGGGGTTAAGGACTCTACTGGGACCTGGACTAGAGGCTGTTCATATGATAATCTAGCAGAGAATCTCCCCATGTCCTGAGAACTTGCACGAAGCTGAATTCAACCATAAAGTACTAATTTGTTTAATGGAGGAAACCTCAAGCCAGCAGAGTATTCGGGCTGTGGTGTGGTGACTGCTCACCGCTCTTATCCCGCCTACTGTCGGAGAGCAACAAGCAGAGCTGAAAGATGAAAATATATATATATATAAAGAGTGGCAGCTCAGAGAAGGCTGTTTGGAAAGCAGCTGTGACTGTTAAATAGACTAGCGCCTTTAGACAGAAACCTGGTGCTCTGCACTGAGACAATAGGAAAGGCTCCCTGAAAGCAAGACCCAACCACTAAGGGCTCCAATTTGCAAAACGAAAATCCACCTGAAAGGAGAGAACTTGACTGAAGGGGTTCCCTGCTTCCCCACTGCCTAGGTCAGCACACAAAGGCCAAGGGGGTCAGGCTCCATCCTACAGTGACCAGAGAACTTGGCAACATCTACATGATACTGGTTTCACAGACATGAAAAATGCTCAACTGAAGAGGTCATGGCGCCTTGCACCACAGTTCAGAGAGTCACTGAGCAAGGCAATGTGTGGCAGAGTTGGAGTTCATGCAAGGAAACCTTGACAAAGCTGAGGAAGTGAAGTTAGAGTTTCAGTGGAGACCCCAGATGTAGGAGAAGCCATGGGATGTCTAACGAGGAAAGCCACAGGCCTGTGGCTATTCCAAGAGAGAGGCTGTGTATGTTCCGCAGGAAGAGGAGCCGGAGGGATGGGACTATCGAAACCCTGTGGAGCCCAGGTGATTCCAATATGATGCCAGACATGGAAAGGCAGGGTTTTCTCTTTTCCCTGATGAATTTCAGTCTTGCTTTGGTCTGATCTTCCTTGCTGAACCTCAGTTCTTCCCTTTGGGAGTGGGAATGTTTGGTTTGTGCCACTACATGCTGTTAAAGTTTGTTTTTAATGTCACCAGAGCTCACAGTTAAGAGCGTCTCTTCCAGGGGACTCAGGTTCAATTCCCAGCACTCACATGCAGCTAACAACTGTCCTTAATTCTAGTTCCACAGGACCAAATACACTTTTCTGGCCTCTGAGCATTGCATGAACATGATGCACTTACATACACAGCACATAAAACATTCATACACATAAAATAGCAATAATTTTTAATATTTATTATTTTATTTTATGTGTATGAGTGTACCGCCTGCATGTATGTAAGTGCTCCCATGTCATGCAATGTCTGGGGAGGTCAGAAGAGGGTAACAAATCCCCTGGAACTTGACTTAGGGCAGTTGTTAGCTGCCATGTGGGTGCTGGGAACTGAACCCAGGTCCTCTGCAAGAGCAGCCAGTGCTCTTAACCACTGAGCATCTCTCCAGCACCAACAATAATTTTTTTTAATCCTTCAGCATTTGGGGGGCTGATAAGATGGCAAGTTGTCCTCTGACCTCCACATGGGGACCATGAAACACCCAGACACACACACACACACACACACACACACACACACACACATTAAAGTAAATAAATGTTTTTTAAACATTTACCATGTTCTGTTCTGTTTTTCACTTGTTGAGCCATAAACTTAATTCATGTGTCTCAATTCCTTTCCATTCATTACTTGAGAAGAGAGAGAGAGAGAGAGAGAGAGAGAGAGAGAGAGAGAGAGGCTATTCTGTAGTCCAGGCTGGCCTCAAACTCATGGCAATCCTCCTGCTTCAGTCTCCTGAGTGCAGGGTTGACCACGTGGGCCACCACACCCAGGTTTTTGTTCTTTCCCGTGTGTGAACATGAGTGTGGAGGGCTATGACTTACCCTTCACAAACTGCACTGGCTGCCTCTCCTGTGTTCTGCTGTCAGGTGGAACAGTCTCCTGAGCATATCCCCTGTCCTGTGACACATTGTGCATCACCCCTACCACCACTGTGCCACACTCTGAAGGTCTGTAATTGACATCACGATGGCAAATTGCCACATGCCGTGTGAGCCCCCCACATTTCAGACCCAAGCATGCTTGTCTCCAGAGTCTAAGGATGGGCTGCCACCCACCCCGACTCTGTGATAAGGAGGAAAAACGAACCAGAAAGCAGCCCAAGAGTAAAAACACTGCCCTTGAGAACAGCTAGAAAGCGAACCGCTCCCAGCAGAGGTTACTGCTGCTTATCACGGTATAAAAGTACCTGTAGTGGGAAAGGAAACGTGGCAATTCAACTCAGCATGGACAGAACGCTCAACCAGCACCCCAGCCGACTGCTCTGCCTAGGGCTCTCTACTGGGGACCCCAGCTGACTGACAATCTCCCCAGTCAGTTTCCATTGGATGTTGGATGTTGTGAATGTGCCCACTTTGATGTTCCCTCATTCATTCATTCTCTCTCTCTCCCTCTCTCTCTCTCTCCCTCCTCTCTCTCTCTCTCTCTCTCTCTCTCTCTCTCTCTCTCTCTGGCTCTCTCTTGCTCTCGCTCTCACTCTCACTCTCGCTCCCACTCTCTCAACTCACTCAAAACTGAAAATACTGTTGTTGCAGATTATTCTCCAGATCGTACTAAACAAGGTCTACAGTTAAAAATGTCAGTGGCACTTGTCCCTCTAAATTTTCAAATAATCTCAGGAAAATCCACTAAAAGAAGCTGTTGTAATTTTTTTCAATCAACGTGTTCAAGATGCAATCATTTTCAGAACAACTTGATGTGATTTGAGGGTTTCTTCAGTAGTCAGACTTCAACCGATGCGGTGAGTTTACACTCACCATGCAACACAATCTGATGGGTCATGTTTTTAGTGTTTCATGTCCATGTGTGCCACTGTCCGTTTCCAGACCTCTGTGTCCACTGTGACTCTTGGACCACAAGTCATCCCAGGCAGACTCTGGGCAGAGCATCGTAGCCCTGGCACCTCCTGGGCTGGGAGCACCCGGTGTGAGGTGACACAGGACCGGCTCCTCTCAAGTCCTCTCTCCTTGGCTCAAAGTTGGTGTCACCTTCCTGTCTGCGTGTGGTTATCCTCTGTGCAACACAGGCTGGGTTCTAATTGCTTCTTCTTCTAAGAATATCGTCTCTTGGGGTTAGGGCCCACCCCACGTGACCTTATTTACCTTCATCGTCTGGTTAAAGGCCCTTTCTCCAAATTCAGACCCTGAGGTTCTTAGAGAGAAGATTCCAACATACAATGCAGGGGAATATGATATACCCAGTAACATGATCCACTCATGGATCTGCTGCCATCTACCCATCTGCTGCCTGGCAAAGGCACTGGGAGTGGGAGCAGAGGGCCCCCCCCCCATACATGTCTAAGAAGGGAGCAAGCCTGTCTCACCACAGGCTTTCTCTCTGGGACATTTTTTCGGTCTGTTTGTTGTTGTTGTTGTTGTTTGGTTTGATTTTTTTTTTTAATCCATCTCATATAGCTCAGGCTTGCCTGAACTGTCTATGTAGCTCAGGATGACCCTGATCTGATCTTCATCCCAAGTGCTGGGATGGCAGGCATGTACTGCACACCAGGCTCACTGGGACATTTTGTAGGAGCTCCAAAGAGTCATGGCAAGTCAAGGAACAGATAAGGGCAGAGCCAGCTCCTCGGGGGGCTACAGAGATACCCAGGTGCCCAAACCAGTGTCCAGAAAAGCCCATGGCTAAAAAGAGTGACCTAGGTGCCAGCAGCAGAGACCACGAGGGACCCGGCCAGCATTCTACCTGCCTTCCCCTGGAATGGGGCCTGCTGTTAGTCACCCAGTGGGACAGTGAACAAATGCTGAGCCTCAGCCCATCCTGTGTGAAGGCCATGGTCAGTGTTGACGGTCAGTTTGACAGACTCACCTGAGGGAGTGCGCTATTGTCTTATTATGTTAGATGCAGGAAGACCATCCATCCTAGCTGTGGGGAGCAAGTGAACTGAGCACAAGCTCTCCACACTGTGGCCTCAAATGCCAAGCACAGATTATCTTACTACATGATCTGGCTCAAGGGAGAAAAACAGGAAATTATTGACCATCATCCCTGAACCAGGGAGTCTCGTAAGGTCAGCAGACTTTACCACATCTTCTGCTGTGTCCCCTCCCCTACTTTCTGTGAGCACCCCAGGAGTCCAGCTCAGTGGGTCAAAAGGCTTCCCATGCACCCATGTGGACACTCAGGGGATGGGTACAATAGCATGTGTGTGAACACTGAACTCTCCCTCCATCCAAGGTCAACTGGACATGGAACTTTGAGTCTTAAAACCAAGATGGTCCCACACAAGTCACAGCGCCTGGAACCCATGAACTCAGGGGGCATGGTCAGATAGAGTACACGGCCACCGTGACCGACCCGGGTGTACCCTATAGTTCCAACAGCCCAAGAGATGAGTCAACACAGTGCCCAGGACCCGAGCCCCTCCGCAGCTTGGCCAGGCACCATGCTGGCATCTTCTGCATACACTACACTCATTGCCAACTCTCTTGGCTGTTTGGTCCCTGCCCAGGCCTCGCTGCCAAGCCTCTGAAGTCCTTACCAGTACAGCAAGCCCTGTGAGTGCCAGCCTGGCTCTTCTGAGTTCAAGTGAGGGGAACAGGCTCAGCCACAGCAGGAACCATGCCTCCCTGCAGACCAGACACCTCAGCCATGGCCCCCGGCTAACGCTTCCTTCCCTCCATGCCCACCCCCCCCCCCCCCCCCCCCCGGGGGCCCGGGGCACCCCCTTATTGGCCCTTCTAAA